GCAGTGGTGAAAGGATTGAAGGTGAAGAAAAGTCCCGGTCCGGATGGAACCCCAACGTGACTTTGTAAGCGGTGATCCAGATGTCCTCGAACATGTTCAGGATGGTGCTGCGGAAATCCCTGGACGAGGGTCACTTCTGTGAAAGGTGGAAGATACAGATGCTAATGTTGCTGCCGAATCCAGTAAAACTGCCGGGGGTTCAGCATCGTACAGGTCTATATGCCTGGATTCCGGAAAGAGTGATCGACGGTGGATGCAATTCAGGGGATCGATATTGCGCCGTGATAACGATCGACGTCAAGAATGCATTTATCAGCGCCAGCTGGGAGGCCATCGCCAAAGCGCTGCATTGAATGAGGGTCCCAGGCTACCTGTGCAGGATTCTAATCAATTACTTCCAAATCCGGGCTCTGGTCTGCGAGACAGACATGGGACAGAGATCGATTAGGATCACGGTGGGAGTTCCACAAGGCTCCATCCTTGGTTCAACTCTTTGAAACGGGATGTATAACTAAAGCTGCCCAAAGGAGTTGAGATCTCTGGCTTTGTGGACTACGTCGTCTAGACGGTAACAGGCAAGACGCTGGAAGAGGTGTAAATTTTGGTCCGACCGAGGCGATCGACATGATTAGTAACTGGATGCAAGGAACGAAGCTGTAGATAGCCCACAAAAAAAAAAAAAAAACGGAGGAGCTATAGGTCAGTAACTGCAAAGTGGTGCAGCGAGCAGAAATAACCGTCGGAGAACACGCCATAGCCTCGAAGTGCGTACTGAAGTATCAGTGTGTGCTGATGGACGTCCGGCTAAATTTCAACAACCCCTTTGAGTATACCTGTGAGAAGGCAGCGAAGGCCATAAAAGCGGTAGCCAGAATCATGTTGTACAACTCTGCGCGAAGCAGTAGCAAGAGGCAGGCATGGAAAATCATTTGCATTCATTTCGTGCATTCATTTACATTCATTTGCCTCTAACTTTTTTCTTGAACAGCATTCCGCAAAATGATTGTTTTGCTTTTGTAGGTTTTGTTATTAGCTATAACTTTTGTTAACAACTCAAATTCGTATCTCTTATGTATGACGAACCAAAGCGAACAGAAGCCACTACTGTTTTTCAGTGAATGTATTTTACATTCACTGAAAACAGTAAAAAGTTCTGCCCGCTCTAGTTCGTGATGCATAAGAGATACAGATTTGAGTTATGAACAAAAGTTGTAGCTAATAATAAAACCTACAACAACTTTATTCATCATTTTGCGGAATGCTGTTGATGAAAAAAGTTAGAGGTAAATGAATGTAAATGAATGTATGAAATGAATGCAAATGATTTTCCATGCCTGGCAAGAGGTGACTTCTTGCTAGTGTGTCCTGACCAATACTGAGGTACGGAGGTCCAGCCTGGGTTTCACCGCTCAAAACCAAGCAAAATCTGAGAAAACTGAACAGTACGTACCGACTCATGGCCATGCGAGTCGTGAGTGCGTCGTTGGAAGCAGTAAACGTTATCGCCGAAATAATCCCAATCGGATCACCCTGGAAAACGACAGCGAATGCTATAGTCGGAGTGAAACCAGAGGAGCACGAAAACTGGAGGGAGAGAGAAGTCGATGGCCATTGGCCAAGTTGCAACATCTTTGCTTCATTAACGAGGAAGTATGCGAGCATAGCACAGTTATGCTAGCTACATCACCACTTGTTATAATCTGCAGGGATCATCCTCCTGTACTGATGTAATTCAAGATAAGTTCATAGCAATGCTTCCACGATACCTCTGAAAGCGACTCCTATGATTTAAGTAAGGCTGACTTCAGCAGCATGAATTATGGGACGAGGTTCTTCAAAACTATGATGCCTACCACTCTAGATCGACCGTATCTGGTATCCTGTAGAATGCCCTCGACCAGTTTGTTTCCGTGAAGTCTAGACACGATTCTGTTTATATGGATTTGATTTGATTTGCTTTTTTCGGTGACGCTGGAAATAAACCATTATTTGGGTAGCGCGTTTCGGCTTTCGTTGCTTCAGCCATCATCAGACGTCTATTACAGACATTTATATAGACTTTTACAAAAAATCAGGAAACATAACACCTGCATTACACAGACAATTTTTTATATGGATCCAACAGACACCAGTAAAGCGGAAGCATTCACTTGGAATGAAATTCATCTGTGTGGATTTCATTCAGTGCAAACACGAAACAGTTTTTTTTTCGAATATATTTTTTCTTCTAAAAGTACCCATCTTGAGATGCATAGACGACTTGTAGATAAAAAAAACTGTCGTTCTGTAGTCAAAATTTCAGATATAATACTTGAGGAATTGACATTAGGATCACAGCGCTTGTTCAAAAAAAAAAAAATAATAAATAAAAAATTGAAAAAAAATCATTGCTGTGAAAAAATATTCTTTAAAAAAAACTATCAATGTAACCCCATTTAACGATACTGTAAAACAGGGTAAAACTGATTGTTTTTTGAAGCATATTCTAAATATTTTCTACATCAAAGAAAGTTTTACAAATTTTTGTTTCTAGAACAAGTACAGATGATCCTAATCTCAATTCGTTAGTAATATGTTTAACGGAAATAAAAGCATTTGCGCTATTATTTTAGTTTTGTGACCGAACTACAGAATTTTGTTTTGGGGTTATTTTGATAATGGTCGATGAATGTTAAAAAAAAAAAATGCCTGACACTAAAAAAAAATCAGTTCAGGAAATATGAAACTTTGAATGAGTATATAATCAGAAAATCATTATAAGTAATAAGAATACAACATTAAATGTGTGGTGGCTTTATCGTAAGTGATGGTTTGAATGCTTTTTCAAACAAGCAAAATACAAAAAAAATGTTTTTAATATGTTTGGAAACATGTAACATACTATTTAAAAACTATATACGATATCAAAGGAAATACCATAAGGTACAATATGGAACCAATGTTACCAATTTGAAAAAAAGGGCAGAGAGGAGATCATTATAATCATTATATTCTACAATCAAAGTTACCCGCATGATCAAAGATACCCTGTTTCACGGTACCCCATATATGTAATAAAGTACTGTACGAAGCATTAAATGGATAGAGGTTCATCTACAGATATACCTCGATATAACGTAACTAACACTTTTGACTTCCATGGTCCATATCTCACAAATAACAATTCAATTATTCAAATTAGCATGACCAATAGATGGGTGCACGAGGCATACGGTCGTTAGGCATACGGACGTTAGGCATAATGTACGATAGGCATAATGGACGTTGGGCATAAAGGACGTTAGGCATAATGGACGTTAGGCATAATCTACCGGATGAATTCCAGAAGGATGATAATGGAGACCGTATATTGATTGCTGACTTCGGTGGCAATAATGAAAGAGCCTTAATTTTTGGAACTCATGAACGACGTCTTGGACAGGCAAAGTATCGGGTTACAGATGGTACGTTTGCCACAGTTCCTTGTTTGTTTCGGCAACTCGTCACTGTTCATGGAAGTATCGCTCCCTCACATCAGCAGACGATTCCGCTAGTTTTCATTCTGATGACAACAAAATCAGAATCGTTGTATCGAAAAGTATGGCAGGAAATCCTGGAAGCAGCAGGTATGTTTTTTTGTTATTGAATGAAAAACCACAGAATTACCCATTCTTGATTTCATGAGCTGTTCTTTGGCATTATATTTTATTCAACCTTGGCTGTTTTTTTTTTGTTATTGAATGAAAAATCACAGAATTCACCATTCTTTATTTCATGAGCTGTTCTTTGAGGAAAACCTTTTCTTCTTTGACTTTTGCAATATGTGTGCTATATGTGGGGCCTCCCTTAGCTCAGTCGGTAAACGCGCAGCTACAAAGCAAGACCATGCTGGAGGTGGATGGGTTCAATTCCCGGTCCGGTCTAGGAATTTTTCGGGTTGGAAAATTTCTGGACCTCCCTGGGCATAGAAGTATGATTGGACTTGCCACACAATTATACCAATGCAAAAATGGTACAGGCATCGAAAGCTCTCAATTAATAACTGTGGAAGTGCATCTATAACACTAAGTTGAGAGCACGCAATAAGCTAATATACCATATGCAATAAGCTTAAAAAGCGAAGAAGAAGAAGAAGAAGAAAGTGTAAGAATATATTACAACAAATGTGTGATTTTTTTATTTCTAGATGCGATTGATTTCAAGATATAGTACAAAACTAAGCTGAGTTTTCATTGTAAGATTACTTAACCACTATCGCTACTAATCATGGATCTAAGTAAATATGTAGATACGTCACTTATGATATGATAAATAATGGATTCCAAACTGTGCTTATTAAATAAACTATGTTTGTTTAACTTGTATCATTTTTTGTTCAACGCTAAGCCTAATTTAAGCATTGTTTACAGGTTTACAGGTTAAACAGGTTTCTAGAGTTGCACAGCAGCAAGGTATTTTATGCTTAGCGTCCATTATGCCTAACGTATATTATGCCTAACGTCCATTATGCCTAATGACTTTATGCCTAACGTCCATTATGCCTAACGTCCGTATGCCTAACGTCCGTATGCCTAACGTCCGTATGCCTAACGTATTTATGCCTAATGGGGTACACTCACCAATAGATGGAGGATTGTCTCATATCTCCGATGGTGTTACTTTCCTTGATTTAATGATTGTTAGCTAGAAATCAGCGATGGAAGTCAAAAATGACAGTTACGTTATATCGAGGTATACCTGTATGTGGAAATCTTTAAAAACAAAAACTTACCAACAATCGAAGATTACCCATTTAATGGGCACATGACATACAGCAATGATTTATCAACCCATACAAATGCTGTAATTAGCGTTTACCTCTGCGGTAAGTTCTCGTTTTTCTTCCATAATTATCTCGTACACATACCCTCACATCGCTTTCGAAACCCAACCCTGGCAAGAAATGCAATGTAGCAAACACGAACCCAAGTATCAAACAAAATATGCGCCCCAGTTCAGCCCAATCCTTTTGATGTACTTACCGGAATTACTTGGCGAGCAAGTGTAGTTCCCAGAATCCGCTGGAGAAGCACGTGCAATGACCAGCCGACTCGTTCTAGTTTGCTGCTCGGTCAGTACACTGATGCCACCTCGTTGTGAATAATTGATCACCCGGCCGCCTTTGTACCAGTAGATGAAGGAAGGTGGCTGCGGTGACTGCAGGGCGACGCAAGTCAAATTAATGTCACTACCACTCTTGACGAACAATTCCGCATTTCCTATGATCTTGGCTTTCGAAACTGTGGTGGGAAAAAGAAAGGGAAGATGAAACAAGCACCCTTTAATTAGTCTTTAACATTGCTTTGATTATCAATTTTATTTAGAGCATATGAAAGTAGTACATCGTTTGAACAAAAAGGCTCTCATGAAGCAATTAACTCGAACAAATGGGACGTGAAATTAATTACTCACCAACTACGTTCAAGCGAAAAGCTTGACTAATTTTCGGCTCAGTCGATACTTGGCACTCGTAGACACTGGAGTCCCGTGCCTGGGGGGACGTTATCCGTAACGTCCACTCGTCACTACCTTCGGTGTGGAGCGACTGGAAGCGCTGGTCGTTGGTGTACGTCAGTATGCCAACGGTTAGGATATGTAGATCTCTTCTCCGAATCCAGGATACCTGTAGCGAGTGGCGAGTAATTCAATTAGGTAATTGCTTAGCGGATGATAAAAAAGGCATTTCCCTACCGCTCGGTCCCCCAGACTTTTGACTCGACAATGCAATTGGATGGTCTGTCCTGCGATGGCAGTCACTTCTCGTTTGGTCGTATTGTCAAAGTACGGTTGCACCATGCTGTTTTCCCAGTACATCTGAAGGTCGGGACTAAGGGTGTCTGTTAGATAGGAAAAAAAGAGTGAATGATACTGAGATAACGAAGATAAATTATATCTTATGTATGGGGATGATTGAGCACAGTGTGAGTTGCAATTCATCAGCCTTAAAACGATGAGATGGTTCAATGGCATCAAAACAGATTCATGATGGGTTCAATAAACTGTGTACGCTTCAGATGTGGTCATGTGTTTTGCGTCATTAATTTATGGAAATTTTGCAAAATTTCAGACTATCATCGCCCTTCGTATTTCAGGCCGAACAATGGATTAGGTACTGATAAGCATTGACCGATTCTTATCGTTGATTTTCTCTATGCATTCTCACAGCTATTTGAAGCCATTTCCAGCTATTTTCAACACACAATTCGATGCAATAAACTATTATCTAACAATGCAATACGCCAAGCACAACGAGAAACGGTTTTGTAGCCAAGTTATTAACGGAAGAGAACGTCTATGGGGAGTATCGTTCAATGTTGCTCAGGACCTTATGCATTGGTCCGGAATACATATATAGGTAGGCAATTGTTCGTGAAAATTCCAATAAACTGTGTATAGGCCATAGAGAATCACAAACCATTTTGTTGCATACACCATTAATAAATCAGATTTTTTTTTTTGATTTTCACGTACTGAATATTCCACGAATATTTAGTTGGTAAAACTCTAAAACTTCATATTCATATTCAGCAAGTGAAGCATTTTCTTAGGCAAACACTAGCGCCCCTAGCGACTTTAACCCGTAAAAGCCCGGGACAAACTTTTTATTTTCAAAAATTTGTTTCTCAGAGATGCCATAACCGATTAAATTGAAAATTTTCAAACATCATTCCGGTAAGTGGTTCTTACATCTGTAGGGTGGTACTCACCCCAAGCCCCCTCCCTCTTCGTTATTTATTCAAGAATGTGTTGGTACGGGGGTGTTTTTTGCAATATTTATCATATATCTTACTTATCATTGCAACAACATATTATTTTTTTCATGGAATTTCCGGAAATGGTAGAGAATAATCATAAGACCACATGCCTACCATGGAATTGGTTCCGGATGTTCCGGATTATGGTTCCATATGGTCAAATTTATTATCTCAGATAACCATATCATGCGACATATCAAATCCCATATACTCGATGAAATATGACCAATGGCACTCAAAATGATAACCCTAGAGCCATATGGCGATCGTAGAACCGGTTCCGGACATTCCGGATTATGGTTCCATATGGTCAAATTTAATATCTTTCATAAATATCAAGCGACATATTAAATCACATCTACTCGAAAAAATATGACCAATGACACTCTAAACAACAACCCTATGGTCACCGTAGGACCAGTTCTGGATATTCCGGATCATGATCTCACATGGTCAAATTTTCAAAGTCTTGGTAATTGGCAGCCGATCAATGCGAGGATGTGCAAGTTGAGGATTAAGGGCCGTTTCTTCAACTATAGCATCATCAACGTGCACTGCCCACACGAAGGGAGACCCGACGACGAGAAAGAAGCGTTCTATGCGCAGCTGGAGCAGGTGTACGACGGCTGTTCGCAACGGGACGTCAAAATCGTCATCGGCGACATGAACGCTCAGGTAGAACGGGAGGCAATGTATAGACCGGCAATCGGGCCAAACAGCCTGCATGCCGTATCGAACGACAACGGCCAACGATGCGTGAACTTTGCAGCCTCCCGGGGTATGGTAGTTCGAAGTAACTTTTTCCCCCGCAAGGATATCCACAAAGCCACCTGGAGATCACCTGACCAACACACAGAAAACCAAATCGATCACGTTCTAATCGACGGGAAATTCTTCTCCGACATTATCAACGTCCGCACGTACCGCAGTGCCAACATAGATTCGGACCACTACCTAGTTGCAGTATGCATGTGCTCAAAACTCTCGACGGTGCATAACACACGTCGAAGTCGAACGCCGCGACCCAACATTGAGCAACTACGGGACGCCGGAGTTGCCCAGGACTACGCGCAGCAGCTGGAAGTTGCACTACCCACGGAAGAGCAGCTTGGCGCAGCTTGGCGCAGCTTCTCTTGAAGATGGCTGGAGGGACATCCGTTCAGCCATAGGTAGTACTGCTGCAGCGGCGATCGAGATCAGCTATGGCAGATTATGCACGAGTACGGACTTCCGGATAAACTGACGCGATTGGTCAAGGCGACGATGGATCGAGTGATGTGCGTAGTTCGAGTATCGGGGACACTCTCGAGTCCCTTTGAATCTCGAAAGGGGTTACGGCAGGGTGATGGACTTTCGTGTCTGCTGTTCAACATCGCGTTAGAAGGTGTGATCAGAAGAGCTGGGATAGACACGAATGGCACGATATTCAGGAAGTCCATCCAGCTCCTTGGCTTCGCCGATGACATTGACATTATGGCACGGAACTTTGAGATGATGGCGGAAACGTACATCAGACTGAAGGCTGAAGCTAGACGGATTGGACTTGCCATCAACGCATCAAAGACAAAATACATGAAAGGAAGAGGTTTTAGGGAAGACAATGTTAGCCTCCCACCCCGAATTCAGATTGACGGTGATGAAATCGAGGTGGTCGATGAGTTAGTGTATTTGGGCTCACTGGTGATCGTCGAAAATGATACCAGCAGAGAAATTCAAAGACGCATTATGGCAGGGAATCGTGCCTACTTTGGACTCCGGAGGACGCTCCGGTCGAATAAAATTCGCTGCCACACGAAGTTGACTGTCTACAAGACGCTGATTAGACCGGTGGTCCTTTACGGCCACGAGACCTGGACTATGCTCGTGGAGGACCAACGCGCCCTTGGTGTTTTCGAACGGAAGGTGTTGCGTACCATCTACGGTGGAGTGCAGATGGATGACGGAACGTGGAGGAGGCGAATGAACCACGAATTGCACCAGCTGCTGGGAGAACCATCCATCGTCCACTTTGCAAAAAATGGCGACTACGGTGGGCTGGGCACGTCGTAAGAATGCCGCACGACGACCCAGTGAAAATGGTTCTAGAAAGCGACCCAACAGGAACAAGAAGAAGAGGCGCGCAGCGGGCAAGGTGGATCCAAGTAGAAGGTGACCTGCGGACCCTTCGCAGACTACGAGGCTGGCGAACTGTGGCCATGTATCAAGTAGAGTGGAGACGACTTCTTCGGACTGCAGAGGACAACAAGGCCTTAGCCTGATTGGTAAGTAAGATGTATTTTAATGATGCCAACAATTTCTTACAACATGATAAATTGATCAAATTTGAAAAAAAAGCACTAATTGACTCAAAAAACCAAAATTAAGGTAGTTTAAAAAGAAAATCAATTATATATCTACAGAGTTAAGATGTAGAAATTTGGTGTCTTTAGCAAATGTTCCTAAAATCAACTGCTCTACAACTCTGTCCAAGGCATGAAACCATTATTTCGTAACTGATAAAGTTAGAATTTGGATGTGTAATACTAGCTTAAAGATTATTCAGGTGTGTATGTCAAAAGATGCGGGATATCATTTTGAGCCGCTTCTCCCAAGAAACTTAGTCTCTAAAACATCGAAAAAGAGTAGAAAATATTTTTGTCTGTCTTTATCCAGATTTGTGCCACTGTGAGGCGGCCCGATTAAAATCAAATGGCTCTTATTTACCTGATGGTTTCACAACAATTAATATTTGATGGCACATTTAAAGACATTTTTTTACAAACGATTAAAAAAATTGTAATCTTTCAATTCCACATTGAAGGGCTCAGATTGATTCAAGATGAAGACAGAATATTTCTCTTGTTGTATGTTTAGCGATATTTTGATCATGAGCGTCCAAAAATCCCCTTATGCATTTTGGTGCAGTTTTGATTAGAAGTGCGCAAGTAGATCGAAATGTTAGCGGCCAAAAATAATTCTGTGGAGCTGGTTACTCATGAAGTAACTTTGAGTAACCACCATGGCAGGCCTGACAAAGAAATACTTTAAAAAATGTGCAAGAAATTGCACGGGTACACCAGAGAAAATCCATCTGAAACGATTTTTTGATAATATTTAAATGATTTTTGTGAACGTATTAGGATAAGAACTCCAAGGGTATTCCGAATTTTCTTTTTGAAGAAAATTGAGTTGAATAATTTAGAGAGATGATAAAAAATGCTAAGGACATCAAATTTAGCAAATTATTGCAAGAATTAAAAAAAAAAGACAAAGAGAATTGTAAAATTAATGCCAACATTTCATTCTAGAGGACTAAAATATATACGTACCCTAATTAACAAAGCACAAGCAATAAAAAATCTCAAATTGGCCACTAAATACTACAGGGGTGCACCAATAAACAAAAAACAAGTTGCAATAGAAATGAAGAAAAAGTCAATAAACAAATAAGAAACTTCTTTTAATAATTTGAATGTGAGCGGTAAAAATGGCAAAAAGGGCAATAGTAAATACAATACGCTCAATTAAATAAGGATGAATCTCCACTAAATTAGGAAATTTGAGCACTAAATAACTCACTTTCATCACCTGCAGTTGAACATATTTTCCCATAAAAGTGGCAAAATGAGCAATGTCATATTCAATAACCGCAATAAATAAATCTAAAATGTCCCACACAAAGCGCACAGTTATCACTGTTTTAATCCAATTATGCTGTAAAATCGTGATTATTTCCCCAAGAAAAAAATGAAAATATCTTTTAAAAACTGAAAAAGTTCCAGGAACCAGAAGATAAATGTGTGCTTGAACATGAGGATGAGCCATCTTAAAATATGAATCGTTCTTAAAGAAAATAAAATAATTCATGCAGGAAAGTAATAATGAGCAATTAAAAACGAACACTGCGCAATATAAAATAAAACAAAATTCCAATGATATTCAGGAAAAATTCCTTTAAATTGAAAGTTTATGAGCCAATAACCCAGATCAATTTCCATATGGTATTTTCAAGACAGCGATAAGTAGTGATACTGTGTCTTGGCTAACAAAGTCGATGTCGATAAAGAAGATTGACGAATGTGGGTCTCATTGAAAAAGTTACCATTAAACAAAATCAAAAGAGCACTAAAAACAGCTGTTTGAGCAATATATACGTCACAAAAGAGCACTAGAAAATACCATTTGAGCAATATAAAGGTAAAAAAAGACACTAAAAGCACAATGAATGTCCCAGGGAAAATTTTAAAAATGCTCAACAAAAAATAAGAAATGAGCAAGAAACGTATAAAATTAGCACTCTGAACCATAGACAAACAGACATAACATAACGTTTCTTGCTCATTTCTTATTTTTTGTTGAGCGCTTTTAAAATTTTCCCTGGGACATTCATTGTGCTTTTAGTGTCTTTTTTTACCTTTATATTGCTCAAATGGTATTTTCTAGTGCTCTTTTGTGACGTATATATTGCTCAAACAGCTGTTTTTAGTGCTCTTTTGATTTTGTTTAATGGTAACTTTTTCAATGAGACCCACATTCGTCAATCTTCTTTATCGACATCGACTTTGTTAGCCAAGACACAGTATCACTACTTATCGCTGTCTTGAAAATACCATATGGAAATTGATCTGGGTTATTGGCTCATAAACTTTCAATTTAAAGGAATTTTTCCTGAATATCATTGGAATTTTGTTTTATTTTATATTGCGTAGTGTTCGTTTTCAATTGCTCATTATTACTTTCCTGCATGAATTATTTTATTTTCTTTAAGAACGATTCATATTTTAAGATGGCTCATCCTCATGTTCAAGCACACATTTATCTTCTGGTTCCTGGAACTTTTTCAGTTTTTAAAAGATATTTTAATTTTTTTCTTGGGGAAATAATCACGATTTTACAGCATAATTGGATTAAAACAGTGATAACTGTGCGCTTTGTGTGGGACATTTTAGATTTATTTATTGCGGTTATTGAATATGACATTGCTCATTTTGCCACTTTTATGGGAAAATATGTTCAACTGCAGGTGATGAAAGTGAGTTATTTAGTGCTCAAATTTCCTAATTTAGTGGAGATTCATCCTTATTTAATTGAGCGTATTGTATTTACTATTGCCCTTTTTGCCATTTTTACCGCTCACAATTAAATTATTAAAAGAAGTTTCTTATTTGTTTATTGCCTTTTTCTTCATTACTATTGCAACTTTTTGTTTGTTTATTGGTGCACCCCTGTAGTATTTAGTGGCCAATTTGAGATTTTTTATTGCTCATTTCACTTTTTTTATTGATGATTAATTATGCTGCCATTCTAGAGATTATCTCTCGGCTCCCAAGCATGTCACAAGTTTTATGAGCAGACTTATCAAAAGAATTGAAATTAATAAATGCAAAATAATTCCAATAGTTCAATCACTAACGAATTTTCGTAAAATATATTTTACAAAATCAGCGGCGCCGGTGGTGTAGTGGCCTGGGTTCAATTTCAGTCGGCGCCGCAGGGATTTTCTGAGGCATAAAATCTTTGAACACGCCATCTTTCGGAAGGGAAGTAAAGCCGATGGTCCCCGGTTCATGAGTTAATGGGTCGATATGCAGGGTCCAGCGGTGGGAACAAGATCAACGGAAAAACAAATCAAAGAAGAACAAAATCTTATACAAAATCATTCAGGTACACAGTTAACGGGATAATGTCGTTTAAAATAGTGAAATATAGAAAAAAATATTTTTGAAAAGTGTCTAACTTAACAAGCGATCAAACGTGTTACACTTTAAAAAACCACAACATTTCCTGCATGCAGCGTAAAACAACATAAATATCACCTATATATTCTTTTATTTTCCAGTTCATGATTTTCTAAAAAAAATTGAGGGGGGTGGGGAGGGGTGACAAAAGTAAAATTTTATAATATGTTGCGGTTTCATCGAAAATACTCAAAATTAACACCACTTTTGACTTGAACCTATCTGATTCACTTTTAAAGTATTCCTTCGCTTGCATGATTAAATCAGCTTCGCATCAGATGAAATGCAGAATTATTAATAATATAACTGATTTTTCCACTTCCATCATAAAGCTCTACTTGATGAATTGCAACGTAACTGGAGAGGAGTTGAACCCTTTGCTTTCCATGGTGGTACGTCACTTACCTGCCACTGCGATGACGAAGAAGTTAATCAACGATGCAATTAGTTTCAGCTTCGTGTTCATAGTGGAGTAGCACTGCACAGTTCCAATTAGAGTAGAGTTTTGCTGACAATGTAACGCTGCTGCTTCTCCTGCCGGATAGTCATCATTTTGCGCGCATCAATTGCTGCGACTCACGGAAACTGGCTACGCAGCAGTACCAGGACTACACTTTTAATTCGTTTTTACGATGACATACTGTAATTATTTCACTCACGTATTCACTTGTAGGTCCGAGGTAGTTTTTTCTCCCATTGGAACAATTTTCAATTAATTGTGCCTGTGCTCGCCAGTGGGAACGGCAAAAACACTGGCAAAGGGAAATGCCACTGCACACAGTTCGATTGCATTCACGATGACGCTGACGATACAGGTTCCGGAACCATGTGTGGCTTCCGAGAGCCACTAACAATTTTCATAATTCAAATGAGTTGCACTGGTGTACTGTATGGAAGGAAGGAGGAAAATGGAAAACTATGTGAAACCGTGCTCATATTTTGCTTTCTCTTCTGCTGTTCAGTTATTCACAGTCGTACTTTTTGTAGACCTTATATGTCTTCCACACGTCCCAATTTTTTTCCTGCGTTATTTTTTTTCGTTACTCTGTATCCTTTGGGGTTTCCACTTTTCTTCCTTTTCTTCACATGCGTCCCTAGCGTTCTGAAGTAGTTTTCCTGTCGGCATAAATATTTCACTTTTATCACAGAAAACCAGCTGGCCGTGGTTGACTTTGAAATGCTCGCTAGAGGCGCAGGAGAATTCCACTTGATATATGGACGTCGGTCGTGAATGTTTTCCCTCTGCTAGCGAGATCTGACCACTCAGGTAGATAGGAAAACCACCACCACCAAATCCAGTGCCTGCATATTCCTATCTTCGGATATTTGAATACCAACACGATCGTCCTCGCCACACAGATTCTACCTCTTTGATGCTTTTCCGTGAAAGGAGACATGTTCATCACAAAGGGATAGGGTTACAGTGATCGGAGGAACGAAACACAGCACCGGAACCAACTCTCGGTGACGGGAAGACACATTGCACGCCACCGAGCAGTACAGTTGGTTTCTTCATTCACATTGTTATATTTGTAATAGGATTCCGCATTGGAAAGAAATTTAAATAGTATACTGCAAACGAGGACAAGTATTTCGAAAAAAAAAAAGCAAAAAGAGAAATTGCGTTGGTCTGAGACATGCGTTGTTGAAATTCTAGCATTCGACATCCTTAAATTCCACTGGATTGATTGAATAATGATTCAATGTTAGATCTTTTCAAATCAACGCATCTGTTTTGGTAATCAATGACTGCGATCGTCGATTAGTAAGGATATGTAAGGTATGAGAAAATTTTCATTCTTATTTAAAACTGATTCGTAAATTTTGAAAGTAGTGCTTGAATTATCAAATTCTTGCTACAGCCAACAGTTACTATCCATTTCTCGATGTTCTATATCTCGATATTCCTCCTTATCTCGATGATTTGAGCAGCTGATTCAGCTACCCATGAATTCAGTTCTTTATACCGTAGAAACCCGTTAGTTTGAATAGCTTAAATGACAATTAAATCGCGCTGATTTTTTTTTAACTGGTACCCCTACAAATATTCTCTATATCTCGATCGTTAAGGTCTGAGTTCACGCTTCTAACGGTTTAATTCAAAATTGTCACGATTAACTAATAAATAACCACGTGGTGCTTCGCTCAGAGAGTTTCAAAACATGTTGCGAGACAGCGCTGGCAGTATTGCCAATATAATGGTAAAAAATCCAACCATTATAATAATTATGTAAATTCAAATAGAGATTGGGAAAACCAAGATCCCAATTACCTCATCATACATGTTCCGAGTACTTTCAAGGATATGGCCAATACCTTATTTGAGTCAAAACTAATCATACGACCTATCAGACCATAGGCACTTCGAAAGAAGATCATTTTTGATCACATTTAGTCTCAAGAGCAAAATGGTCATACACGCACAAAATGGTCATACACGCACATGGTCTGGGTAATCTGATAACAAGATGATTAGTGACCATATTTAGTGTTCAGCATTACATTGACAACAACCATACATGTTCCGGGTGCTGCCGTATCACACTTGATAATATATTCCCTGAACTACATTGACCATTATCGGACTGATGATTTCTAGGCTCATCTTAGAACAAAATCTCATTTGAGCCACTATACCATCATTACATTTTCAAGACCATAAGCGAACGGATCTCATTGGGTGTGAAATATTTAGGGTACATGTCACTAACTTGGGTCTAATTAGCAGCTATCGATTATGGTTTCAATCATAACTCAACTAATCATTGACGAGCAGAAATTCTAATGTCAACATAAGCTTAGAAGAGATACAGGCAACAAATTCAGCTATAAAACATTCGTCTTAAAGAGTTTAAAATTCTCTAGCAGATAACTTTCATGAGAAATTTTAAGATCTAAAAGTTATTTGAAGACACCTTTGCTGAGAAATTCGAAAAAAGAAAACTAGAGCAAAACAACTGCTTTTTTAAGAGCCACCCTACTCAGTTCAAGAAAATAGCTCTAAATCGGCCAATTTAAGAGATACAAAAAAGTTGGTTTCAACAAAATTGCTTGAAATTAGCTCAGCTATAACTTTGCCGCAAAATGTATACCTTAATTTATTCAAACAAAAAAGTTAGATTGTTGATTTTAATGATAATAGGAACCACCCTAGAATTCATTGTCTTAAAAATGAGGGCCTTACTATAAGGAACAACTTTGTAGAAAAGACTTTTAGTCTAAAGTTTCAATTTCAGGCTAAAAACATATCATTCCACCAAAATCTGCATTCTGGACCACTGTGCACTGATAGGGGTACTAACCACAACCTCTTAAGTTAATATAGGTTGCATACATTTATGAGCTATCCTACACCCAACCGGTGGATGTAAGATTCGCTTACAATTATGTGGGATTCATCATCAGAGGATGTAAGTGGAGACCGCATGAACCGAGGATGCGATATACCTAGCTGCGGTCCGATGTAAGAAAATTGGAGACCGAAAAATGTGGAGTTGTATTAGTGAGAGAAATTAATTATGTCAAAAAAAAAATAGAAATAAGGTTGACGACTGGACTCGAACCACGGACGTTGCAATTATCAGACCTGTGCTTTCTCCACTGCTCTCTCCATGCTTCTGAATATGGATAGCCTAAAAGCAAACATGAAGCGCTCATTTTCTCGCATGCTCGACTTCGTATGCTTTTTCTGCTGGAGAGATTCGAGTTAAGTGTGTGCGTCGTTCTACAATGTTCTACAATGTGCGTCGTTCTACAAGCTTACTGGTATCGTCGAAAGCGTAGATTGAACCCGAAATAAAAATGCTCGACTTCGTATGCTTTTTCTGCTGGAGAGATTCGAGACAAGTGTGTGCGTCGTTCTACAATGTTCTACAATGTACGTCGTTCTACAAGCTTACTGGTATAGTCGAAACCGTAGATGGAACACGAAATAAAAAAAGACAAAAAACCATTACATCGCCTGCATGGTCAATTTCTAACATTCGTTGCGATGTTCATGAACAGAGGATGATAGGAAACGGAACTAACATTCATTGTAATAGATTTTTGGTTTGCGTGTAACATTATTATTGCGGGAAGAATATATTAATTATTTAAGGTACCCACCAGTGCTGCTAATTTTCATATCGTTCGATTGAAGATGAACCAATTCTGCGAAAACCAATTCTAAAGAGCCATTTTCTCAAACGAACCTCATCGTCACTGTCAATTGAGTCACTCACTATCAATTGATACACAGCAATGGAGTATAGAAGTAACTCGTAAAAATGGCGCCGAACAGACATGTCGACCCGATATCGGATCAATGTATGGTCAATTAAATGTCGATGTTGACCCAAAGCCAGGTCGATGTCAGATCAATTTTGGGTTTATGTCGGGTCGAAATCGGGTTGGAGGCTGGTATAATTCAAGTTGCTGTCGGGTTGGCTCAGCTTTTTCGCCGGAATGTCGACCAGAGCTCCGTTTGTATATAGCTAACACTTGATTGAATGATATCTATACACCCAACCGGTGGATGTAAGATTCGCTTACAATTATGTGGGATTCATCATCAGAGGATGTAAGTGGAGACCGCATGAACCGAGGATGCGATATACCTAGCTACGGTCCAATGCAAGAAAATTGGAGACCGAAAAATGTAGAGTGTATTAGTGAAGTAAATTTATTATGTCGAAAAAAAAAATAGGAAAATGGTTGCCGACTGGACTCGAACCACGAACGTTGCAATTATCAGACCTGTGCTTTCTTCACTGCTCTCTCCATGCTTCTGAATATGGATAGCCTAAAAGCAAACAAGAAGCGCACATTTTCTCGCATACTCGACTTCGTATGCTTTTTCTGCTGGAGAGATTCGAGGCAAGTGTGTGCGTCGTTCTACAATGTTCTACAATGTGCATCGTTCTACAAGCTTACTGGTATAGTCGAAAGCGTAGATAGAACACGAAATAAAAAAAAAAATGCAAAAAACCATTACATCGCCTGCATGGTCAATTTCTAACATTCGTTGCGATGTTCATGAACAGAGGATGATAGGAAACGGAACTAACATTCATTGTTATAGATTTTTGGTTTGCGTGTAGATATCTATAGCGTTTCTCAAATGAGAATGATCCATTCCATCGTCAAATGACTAAGCAAACTGATCGAACCCAGTCGTATGAGGTTTCTGAGAATTTACTACACTGGTTCCCACTTAATAATGTTAATTTCTAGTCGAAACACATTATGTTTTCACACAGATTTCGAAGCTGTAAATGTAGCTAGTTGATTCATTTATTAAATGTAAGGAATACTCTTATTTTTGCCTTAAATTTGTACAAACCGTCGAACCAATCTTACATATTTCATCGAAAGGCACTCTAATAACCTTTTTTATATTTTTGTGAGCACAAATAGTAAATTATTAGCCAAGAATGGCATTTAACCCCAAAATAGTACCTATTGGTGAAATAAAAAGTTGATCAGAGTATCTATTAAGCGAAATATCGTGGTGGTGCATATTACCTTGGTGGCGCGTTTTACGCCATTTCCCCTCAAATGCTAATCAGTTAAAATGCTGAATATTCTGCAATTGGAAGTTAAAATTGTATTCTGTAAATGGCATCAAAACATCGTCCATAAGTTCTAAAAAGTATTGGGGTAGATTGTTGCTATTGACTTCCTTGCTTGATACTGCTCTTGAGAAAGATTGGATATGGATTTCCGATCAACAAGTCTTTTCTAAAAATCAAATGCCACTTCTTTTAAGTACCCGTTTCTCCATCAGAATTTCAGAACACTATAACTATAATATAAAGGAGCTCGGGATTGAACCCATGATTTTCTACTCCATGATAAACAAAATCGGTCTCCACAAGGCCATCAAGTTCCTTATTTCACAAAACAATTACGACCAAGTGCCTGTATGAGGAGATTTGAGGTATGTCCCAAATGTGTCGAATTCCCCCATCAACCAATGTACGAGCTAGGTAAAGGAGTGCGCGTTTGATTAGTACTGTCGCATTAATGGCCCGTCACTCCATTTCCAATCTTCACATTGCCGTACTCTAGTGGAACTATCAATCTATCCTCTTCAGAACTTTCTCCAGCTAATAAATTATCACACGAAAGCTTCATGTTGATCTTAGTCAACATGTGTGTAAGGTGCACGAATGTATTGCACTCACTTGCTCTCCGTATGCTATGAACGAATATGTACAAGCCCATTTGTACTCAAGTTTTTACTCAAGTACAATGTTCAAGTTTACACCCAGGTACAATCTCATGCCCTTGTACTCATATGGGCGACGGCCAGCCATGGTAAAAACACTGAACCCTTTTGCACGGGTGGCAGTTTTGCCTACAAACACACCACCAAGAGCATTGAGTTTTACGCTCCGTACCAGTGCTCGATAGAAAACACCAAATGCAGCGAACAAGGCACCGGTACCGGTGCCCGTGCATAATTTTTTGCACCGGTGTATGGATCTTCGGCAAGCACCAAAGCCGAGTGTTTCTGACTTCGGGAAACACCGCAGCCGAGTGTTTTCGATTTCGGAAAAAAAAACGTTTGCTGCTCGTAGGAATTTTCTTTGGGCGACTTCAGAAAGATTATCGTAGCTCCTATGCGCCTTTAGCATCTTCTGTCTCGACTAATACCCCGTACAGACTATGGCTTATATCATGTAATATAGGCTGTCTTGCAATGAGCACTTATACATCTAGTTTTCAATGGAAATCCTATGTATGAGTGCTCATTGCAAGACAGCCTATATTACATGATATAAGCCATAGTTTGTCCGGGGTATAAAGCTGATAGACGAGTGGTCAAAGCAACATTTCCATAATACCTTGAACAGGTTCGATTGCAGTCTGTACCTTCCAGTCTTTTTTGTCAATATTATTTTCATGAGATAAATCTATTAAATTCATTTCGATTTCTTTTGGCTAAAAAGCATTACGCAATATTATAAAGCTTATGAGCTCAAGGGATCAACTACCAGGATTATTAAAAATACACAAATCACCCACTTTGGAAGAGCGTGTTGCTGTTGCCGTCTTGGTATTGGTATTTCTTGGCTTTACATCAAATAATTTAGCTGATTGATTTAATTTGATTAGATCAATATAATAATCATAACTTATCTCCAACCAAACCAAACAGCTCAACTGATTGAATAATAGTAGAGATATATGGGGTGTTTAGATAATATGTAATATATTACATGCTGGTTCACTATTAGATAATAAATAATATATTATATGCTGGTTCACTAGCTCAACCAACTCAACTAACTAGCACGAATTTCAGAGGCTCCTGAAATCTCATGCTGGTAGATGCTGACGTCCTGTTTACATTATGCTGACTATTTATAAGTACAGCTTTAGTTCACTAGCATCAGCATACCAGCACAGATGTAAACACCCAAATAGCGGTGGGTGAACAGAACTACTCACCATTCATGTAGGGTAGAACAGCCCGAAATGCACCCCGGGCCAAACGCCCGTTTTGATTTTTCATAGCTATTCCACTGTTAATTTTGCCGAAATGCTAAGTAAAGTACTAAACTAGCACTGTAACTTGTCCAATTTATGATTTAAAAACGGGAATGCTAGGAAAAATCGCAGCGAGCGATTTGCGCGAGGTGCATTTTGGGCTGTTTTCCCCTAAATAAAAATGCGCGCAAGAAGGATCGCATTCTACCTTCTACTAGCTCCATATCAGCCATGGTAGCTGTTTTTTTGTTGTTGGATATAAGTTATCGTTATTAGATTGACTCAAATCGTGTGAAAACAATCAGCTCAATTAGTTAACATAAAGCCAAGAAATACCAGTGGGTGGACGGCAACAGAAACACGCTCTTGCGAAGTGGGTGATTTGCGTATTTTTAATAATCCTTGTAGATGATCCTTTGAGCTCATAAGATTCATAAGATTGCATTACGCCAAAAAAGAAATCGAAATGAATTTAATAGATTACCTTTTTGAAAATAATGTTGACAGAAAAAAACTGGAGAGTGACAGATCGGAATCGATCCATGGACATTGGAATTATGAGAGACCAGTGTTTCGACCACTTGTCTATCAGCTCTAGACGCATTTAATTGCTACCTTGTGTAACACCATAATCTTTCATAAGTCCCCCAAAGAAAATTCCTGCGAGCAGCAAGCGTGTTTTCCGAAATCGAAAACACTCGGCTGCAGTGTTTCCCGAAGTCAGAAACACTCGGCTTTGGTGCTTGCCGAAGATCCATACACCGGTGCAAACAATTATGCACGGGCACCGGTACCGGTGCCTTGTTCGCTGCATTTGGTGTTTTCTATCGAGCACTGGTACGGAGCGTACAACTCAATGCTCTTGGTGGTGTGTAAAAAGGCAGTACGCAGTGTAGTGTTGCGTTTAGACATGCCTGGCGACGGCTTGCATTGTTATTTTATAATTTTATACCTTTGCTCCGTGCTCAAACCCGTGTGCAATGTACCCGTGTGCAAACATCGCGAATACACTTGTGAACATCGATACACCTGAATGTATTGTATGAAATGTGCCTGTGTACAAAATTGCACGTAAGTCCAAGCTGAACCCTGTAAGTGGGTAGATAACCTTTTCGTGGTACGGTACGGGATGTAAGATCTACCACCGATTCCTAGTCTTGACTACTTCAAATTAGGGGAACAGGATTTTTCAGTAATCAAAGCAACACATCTTAGTCTTCTTAGTCTTGAAATAAGGAAAAAATGAGTTAGTTAGTCTTCATCTATGTGAATCCTAATATTTAATGGAACAACAATCATTGTTTAAAGTGGTTAAGACTAGGGTTCTGATGCATGGTCATTATCGGTGTCATTGCTTATTTTCGTTGCTAAGGAATCCAATTTCGACTGACAATGGGGCGCGCCTTTGGAGGGTGTTCCAACACAAGGCGGGACCTTTCAATTAGAATCGATTCCTTGCGATGAAGAAAAGAATGACAACTGTATCAAAACCGAATTACTCATCATTTCTCAATAGTGATGGACTTATATGACATGCACTAAACTAAGGCACGATTTCCCTGGGCATAGAGTATCATTGTGCTTGCCACACAATATACAAAATCATGCATTGGTAATTGGCAACGGAAGCTCTCAATTAATAACGGAGGAAGTGCATTTAGAACACTAAGTTGAGAGCCCGCAATAAGCTAATATGCACTAAGCAATAAGCTTGAAATGCGAATAAGAAGAAGAAGTATACTAAGGACACGGGATATACTATAATAGATCAAATTACTGGTCGCAGTGGTGCTGTGTCCTGAACAGAGGAGAAAAAAGTTCAAGCTGAACATTCGTTTTGATTGTTGTACACAAGCTCAACATGGTCAACGTGCGTATCTTCAGAAATATCTCTCACAAACATGATATAGCTAGTCCAGCTAGTTCAGAAATATCCCTCAAAAACATAATATAGCTAGTCATCCAAACCAATTGCCATCCAAGCGGGCTCAATTGCCGTACGATCGAACGGTTATCCAATTCAGTGCCAAATAAATGTCAGCTTGTTTCTACTAATTCCCCCTGCTGACGCAATTCGCCGTTTTAACCACACGAATGGATCCTGGATACTTCGAACAAAAGCGTCTAAGCGTAGGGGTTGAATTTGAAAGGTGTAGATTTTCCTTTCAAACAATTTTCCCTAGTTTGCTAGCACAAGGGGTTGTTGGGTTGGCATTTTTTCGTTACTGTCTGGCACTTCTTTCATCCATTTGATGTTCGATTGGAGTGAGAGGATTACCGGTCCGAATTTTTTCCTTCTATTTGTCACCAGTTGACATGGGAGGGAAAATTCCTTTTTGGGTAACTTGTACGTTTTACGTCGGTTTCCATTATCGCCGTTGCCATTAAATCTGAAAAGGGAATGAATGGAGAAAAAAAATACGTAAGATGCTATGTATAGAACTGCTTGATGGGAAAAGTGTGGTCAATGGACGGCTGATTATATTACGATTTGTGTCTTATTAGAGAATTTCAATCGCTGCTAATTGTTTTCATTTTACTGATTTTGTGTGTTTTTGGATCTAACTGTGTTTTCAAAAACTTACGAGTGTCTTCGCAAGCTTGTTTGGACTCTTTCGGTTTAATCACAATGACCGGATCAGTCTTACGATTATCTGGTTTGTTACTGTTGCTAATATTTTTACTTCTACTAGCAATTTCTTTGAACATCATCTCATGATCACTATTTTGGAATTTACGCTTTTTGCGTCTGGTATTTTCGTTCGATTCCTGAATCGTGCTGACCATTCGTAATTGTTTTCCCGCATTAATTAAAAAAAAATAACATAGGTACTGTCCAATTTCTGACAAATTGATTTTACAAGAAGACCATTTCCATTTTGTCCATCCCGCTTTTTAACGCGATGTTTCATCTGAGCAGCAATGTGATCTCGCATGCCAATGACCGAATCTGAGAGTTGAAATACCTTCTTAATACCTTCCTCCATCATTTTGTCGCACGAGATCAGGTCATTCTGCTCGTCACAGCTCTGATATCTGACAGACAATTACCACGCTTGAACAGAACATTTGCATTGTCCAAGAATTGCCTGAGTTCTTGTAAGTGTAGATTTGTCTGAAATCTCGTAAGTGAAATAACTACACGAGTACACGTACCTACACAGAGAACCTGTAATTAGCTTACCACAACCCCCAAATTACACCCGCCGCACACTCCCATCTCTGCCTACCAATACACACAAACCGAGACACTATTGCTGATTGCATCTGAAACTGGACTGTCCCAAAAATGCAAAAAGTGTAATAAAAGTGCACGTTTCCGTCAAATCGTTTTGATGTCTTAGGAGCACTTATTGTTTGCATCATAAGGAATAAGTGCACTCAAGACACCAAGACGATTAGACGTGAACTTGCAGTTTTATCACACTTTTTAATAAGTGAAAACGCGCTTATTAGTCCAATTTGGTGTGAAACGCTCAATATTTTCAACTACAACTGCAGAGGGACAAGCAAAATAAACACACACATATACAATGCCACAGCTCACAAAAGGATCCCAATATCGCACCACGGCGAAAGAAAAATACAAATAAAAAAAAAATCAGCTGTAGTGGCAACTGTTCTCCTACTAATTCAGATAGAAAATTAGTACGGGGCACGCGAAGATTTAATTCTTCTGCGGCACACAGCACAATTTCACACTAAATTATTATTTAACTAATCATGTATTACTTCATGCGGAAAAGTTAAAGATTTACATAATTGTAGATGCTTAACATCAAATACACTGTGCAACAAGACTTTCTAGGACTTTCACTTTATTCGACTTTCTCGTGGACCTATACCCTAACACGTCCTAATTTTTTGATACCGCCCTCTTTATGAATTTTGGTATGTTGTCCTGATGTCGGTTGTATACTGCCTAACAAAAGCATGTTACAACATTGCCGTCCAAGAGTTTTTTGATTGTAGGAAATGACTTGAAATTTTTTTTTTAGAACATTTAAAAACGATTGTTGGCGCGCTTACCCTACGTTGTGTTTACTGTTTCTTCATCCATCGCACCAAGGGCTCAGCGATGGGCAGCAACGATATTCCGGCTTATCACGAGAATTAAGTTATGGCAAAAACCAACAAAAAACTACACTTCCTCTTTTCCAACTTTCCCTTTTGCAGGCTAATTTACTTGTGATCGAACAACAACAAAACTTTCTAATACAGGCTGATATGTAGTTGCTAGTGGGGCATTGAAAATCCCGTTTCTGTCAGTGAAGCTGAGCGGACGCGGTTGCCAGAAGGGCTAGAAAACTAGTCTAAAAGTGTACCCGCTAGCACCAGCTGTGGAGCGTGTTGCGAGAACCAACATACCCGCCACCTTGAACGACTATGCTCAACATTGAAAACATAAACAAACAACATAAATTTTACTCTTACGTAGGTACTAGATTTTGTTCCTTACTTCTAACAGATTTTCAGCTTAAACTAATGAAATATTTTAATTTCGTTCTAACATTTCGTTGTCGCTGGATCTTCTGGAAATTCCTTCGTTTCTGGAGCTACCGTGGAGTACGGCAGCAGGCAGATTTTCGCGATGGGACGAGTGATGATACCACGAGCAGTGCGGAGAATGACAACCCGTGCTAATTTGTCCTTTCCTGGCAAGATGGATTCGATGCGAGCAAGAGGCCATCGAATTGGACGTTGCATCTCGTCGACTACGATGACCATTTTTCCTGGTACGATTTCTTCGTTGCAGTTCCAGCCTCGGGTGTCCTTCATCAGCTCCTGAAGATACTCCTTCCGCCAGTGGGTCCAAAACTGCTGCACATGCAGTTGCAGTTGCTGGTAATGGTCGAGTTTGTATGCCGGAAAGCTTCGGAGATCTGGGTCGGGCAGAGCATGTAACGATGAACCGATGAGGAAGTGAGCTGGAGTCAATGCGAACATGTCGTTGGGGTCTTCAGTCATCGGAAGCAGTGGCTGTTCATGATTGCTTCGATTTGCGCGAGGACGGTACACATTTCTTTGAACGACATGCGAGATGATCCTAGTGTGCGAAAGAGGTGCTTTTTCGCTACTTTTATAGCCGCTTCCCACAGGCCACCGAAGTGTGGGGCTTTGGGTGGTGTCAAATGCCAGGTGATCCCTTCACTGGCGCAGGCAGATACGATTTCATCTTGCTGGGAACGGTCACGGAATCTGACAAATAGCTCAGCCAGCTCGTTCTTTGCTCCCTCAAAATTCTTCCCGTTATCAGAGTGGATGTGGGCGGGTCGCCCACGGCGAGCGATGAACCGTCAAAGGGAACACAGGAAACCTTTTGTGGACAAGTTGCTGACCAACTCCAGGTGTACTGCTCTGGTCGAGAAGCATACAAAGAGGCACAGGTAGGCTTTGGCAGGTGCAGTGCGTTCGTGTATCGGTCGAAGATAAAGCGGGCCAGCATAGTCAACACCAGTGACGCTAAATGGACGGCTTGGAATGACTCGTTGAGCAGACAACTGCCCAATTTGCTGTTGAGCAAGTATTGGATTGAGGCGAGTACAACGGAAGCAGTTTCGGACGGTACTGTGAACCAGTCTACGTCCCCTGGGTGGCCAAAATTCCTCTCGAACAGCAGTCAAAAGTAGGCGCCCGCCGCCGTGAAGCAATTTGCGGTGGAAATATTCGACGATTAGGCGGGTGAACGGGTGGTTTGCGGGAATCAGGGCAGGATGTTTGGATTGATAGGGCAAAAAAGCAAAATCAAGACGACCTCCCACTCTCAACTCTCCCTCTGAATCGAAAAACGGGCTCATGTTGCGTATGTGCGATTGCTTCGATACGGTTTTCTCCTTCTTCAGCTGTTTTATTTCCGCAGCATATCCATCCTCTTGGGCTAATCGGGTGAGATAGGTTTTGGCTTTAATGATTTCTGCACGGTGAGTGCTTGACCGACGGGAACATTTGATGACGAGGGTTGTGCGCGGGTTTTCGAACGGACATTAGTGACGAAGCGCATGCAGTATCCAATGACGTGGAGCAGACGACTGTAGGAAGACCATCGCAGAAACCATGGGTGGACAGTCGGTGAAGCTTGAATGACTGCAACGGTAGTTTTTATCTCCAACTCTTCTTCTGGTACTCCCGAGGGGATAGAAATTGGCCAGTTTTGGGGTGAATGCGATAGCCAATTTGAACCACGAATCCACAAATCGCTCTTGAGGAAATCGTCGACTGACATGCCGCGAGAGACCAAGTCGGCAGGGTTTTCAACTCCAGGGACATGTTTCCACTGACAGCCTTGTGTGTATTGTTGGATTTCCGAGACTCTGTTAGCCACGTAGGTCGGCCAGACGTTCGGAGGTGATCGTAGCCATTGTAGTGTGACTGCGGAATCCGACCAAAAGTAGGATGCAGAAATGCTAACGTCAATAGCGTTCTTGATGCGAGCATGTAGATGAGCGGCTATCACAGCTGCACAAAATTCCAAACGGGCGATTGTGACTCGTTTCAACGGTGCTACACGAGATTTCGACGCTAGGAGTTGGATCTTCACTCGTCCTTGACTATCTTCACAGCGGGCGTAGGTGCAGGCACCGTAAGCGGTTTGAGAAGCATCTGCGAAAGTGTGCAGTTGGATTACTGAATCAGGAAGGAAAGCATATCTGTCAACACGGTGCTCAGAGATTCTCGAGAGTTCTTGCTGGTAGGATTCCCATTTTGACTTGACGGGTTCTGGTACAGGGTCATCCCAGTCGCAGGAAAGAAGCCATAGTTCCTGGATAATGATCTTCGCCCGAACAACTACCGGTGCGATGAGTCCAAGAGGGTCGAAAAGCTTGGCTGTATCTGAGAGGATGGACCGCTTTGTCGGAGGCTCGTCGCTGACTCGAATCTAGGAATCGAAACGGAGAAGATCGGCCTCAGGTTCCCATATTATTCCGAGCGCCTTGATTGATTCATCTGGGTTGAAGTGAAGAGCGGATTGCGTTCCAACTTGTTCATCGCTTAGACCTTGCAGCACCTCGAGCTGATTTGAAGTCCACTTCCGTAGTTCGAATCCACCTTTCTTCAATAGTTCGTCGGGCTCTGTACGCAGACGGATCGCTTCTTCGACGGATTGAGCACCACCGATGAAGTCGTCGACGTAAAAATTCTTCTTCAACGCTGGACCGCCATTCGGGTATGCAGCGCCTTCATCTTCTGCTAATTGCTGGAGAGTACGTGTTGCTAGGTAGGATGATGGGCCCAAACCGTACGTAACGGTCAGCAGCTCGTAGATTTGGACAGGTGATAACTTGGAAAATCGCCACAGGATACGCTGGAACGGTGTGTCGTCCAGATGTACAAGTATCTGCCGGTACATTTTGGCAATGTCGGCGACTAGAGCAATGAAAAAGTACGAAACCGCAGAATGATGTCCAGGAGATCGTCCTGCACCACGGGACCCACGCAAAGAGCTTGGTTGAGGGAGAAACCGGAAGAAGTTTTAGCTGAGCCATCAAAAACAACTCGGACCTTGGTCGTCGTACTTGCTTCCTTAATTACGGGGTGGTGGGGCAGATAGTAAGCTGGAGCATTTTCATCATCCGCTTCGACCAACCGCATGTGGCCGAGGGAGATATACTCCTTGATGAACTGGTGATATTCATTCTTTAATTTTGGGTTTCGTTCCAAGCGTCTTTCCAGGTACTCGAACCTTCGCTGGGCGTTGTCCCGAGATTTTCCGAGCAACACATTGAAGTCGGACTTCCGAGGATACCGCACTACATATCGACCATCAACATTTCGTGAAACGGTGGACTGATACATGGATTCACAGTGCCGTTCTTCCACTGAGTAGTTGTCCTTGGTTGTCAACTCTTCGGTTTTCCAAAACCTCTCCATGCTTTCCTCTAAAGACATCATCGAAACTTCAACCGCATTGCACGAGATAAATGGTGCAGATGTGTGAATGACTGAGCTATCATTCGTCGAACCAGCAACGATCCAACCGAAGACGCTGTTGACCAGAAGTGGAAGGTTTCTGTCAAGCTGGACGCGCTCATTGCTGGGGAAGAAGGAGTAGAAATGTCTTGCGCCTAGAACCATATCTATCGGTTGACTCTCGTTGAACGATGGATCTGCCATGAACAATTCATCCGGAATATTCCAATTCGCAATGGAAATGTTTTGAGAAGGAAGAACAGCAGTCACTTTATCCATCACCAGAAAGTTTACACCACACGAGAAGTTTCCCTTCCTGGACTGCACCAGAGCGAAAACGGATTCATTGACAGGTTTGGAAAGCTGACCTGCTCCTTGTACTGTCACGTTCGCGGGCTGTCGCCGCAGCCGCAGAATCTTCGCCAACCGATCCGTGATGAGATTTGGTTGCGAGGCACTGTCAAGAAGCGCGCGGGCTAGATACTCCACACCGTGCGCTCCGATGACCTTCACCACGACGGTGAGGAGAAAAACGTTTTCACGAGGATGCTGCAGAGCTGTGCTGACTTCAACTGGCGGAACATTCTCGGAGGCAGTAACCATCGATTGTGTGGACGACTCAATTGCAGATGGTGCATGAGAAAGCAAACTCGGATCGGCTTCGACACTAGGAGAAGTACCTTCGTTGCTAGTCCTGCGAGAACTCTCGGTCTGTCCAAGATGAAGAAGAGTATGATGACGTCGATTACATTTACGGCAGTTGAAACTGGAAGGGCAATTGCGAACGAAATGATCACCCCTCAAGCAGTTATGACACAGACGTTTTGAGCTTACAAGCTGCTGTCGTTCGATCGGCGAAAGTCGGTTGAATTTGACGCATTTCGTCACAGAATGTGACTGGCTGCAGGCGATGCACTTTTCCCCAGAACTAGTAGTCGATGCACAAGAAGCAAGGCGAAGCTGTGTGTGGACCTGATTTTTCCTCGACGGATGAGAATGCCCACTGGAACCAGAAGCAGATTCGGCTGTGTGGTGATTCACGGAGATGGATTCTAGTACTCGTGTCCTCCGTTGCAGGAAATCGATGAGGCAGGTGTAATCCGGATTCGCTACCGTCGACGCATGGTCCTCCCACGCCTTTAGAGTGTCATCGTGCAGTCGCGTGCACAGAAGATGTTCCAAAATAGCACTCCAGGTGTCGGTAGGTTCTCCCAATTGATGAAGAGTCTTCGTGTGCCGCTCAAAGTCGTCCACTAATCCATGTAATGCTGCAGCGGACTCCTTTTTCATGCGCGGGATGTCGAAGAGTGCCTGCAGGTGTCGCTTCTTCAACAAATAATCGTTGGAATACCAGTTCTCCAGAGTCTGCCAAGCCAAAGCGTAGTTAGCGGAACTGATGCCAATCGATTCGATCAGTTGAGCAGCTTCACCCTTGACTGCTGCTCGTAGATAGTGGAACTTCTGAATGGCTGGCAGATCTGGATTCGAGTGGATGAGCGCCATGAAGGTATCGTGGAATGCAAGCCATTGCATATAATCTCCATCGAACTCGGGTAGAGAAATCGTCGGCAGCTTGATCCCAGAGAGAGTGGAGGAAACTTGAGGGGGAGGAGGGATGCGCTCTTGAATAATAGGAGGCAATTTTGAAATGAGACTGGCTTTTATTTCAAACAGCCTTGATTCAAACCCTGCATGAATGGTAGCATGCTCTGCCCTTCCTTCATCCGTCGTCTCGCTGTCCTCAAGCTGCGCCTGAACCGCTTCCAGATTGTTCCATACGCCGTCCAAGTACTGGATTCTCAACGGAACTTGCAGTTGGTCTCGTTGTGCTTCATATCCACTGACGAAAGCTTCTGCCCGACCCAACGATGAAAGCAGCGTCTCACGTCTCGATAGCAGCTGGGCTCTCGTCTGCACTTCCGCCATATCGTGCAGCGGATCGATAAATCAAAAGCACGCACTCGATGAATAACCTGCGCACAAAAGAACCACAAGTAGACCCACGGAGGGTACGATAGGAAACTTGGACAGGTACTCACCTTGTCCAAGGCAGGTACGGTGCCTTGTATTTAAATTCTCCAAACAGGAACACACAGGAACTACACAATGGCTAGGAACGCCAAGGTGCACAAAGGTCCAATTGTGCGCCGATCGATGATGAAAATGGCGCTTCCAGGTCAGTAACAATGCCACACTCCGGTGTGAATAGTAGCAATTGTCGAGCAGGAACAATCGGGATCAATCAGCGCATGCAAGCAGAAGGGAAAGAAGATCTAAGGGGCACCTGTGATACCCGCAAATCAAATGGACAGGTCGAACCTTGTCGGGAACCTTGTGCCCGATAAATCAAGCCTTGTATTTTACAAGCAGCAAGCAGGATCACGAACTAATCTCCTCCGTTGAATACCGTTTTGTGCCGGCCTTGAAGATGGCGGCGCCCAGTAACACTCAGCACGCGGTCCGAAAGGAATCCTGGTCACGGCACCAAAATTATGTTGGCGCGCTTACCCTACGTTGTGTTTACTGTTTCTTCATCCGTCGCACCAAGGGCTCAGCGATGGGCAGCAACGATATTCCGGCTTATCACGAGAATTAAGTTATGGCAAAAACCAACAAAAAACTACACTTCCTCTTTTCCAACTTTCCCTTTTGCAGGCTAATTTACTTGTGATCGAACAACAACAAAACTTTCTAATACAGGCTGATATGTAGTTGCTAGTGGGGCATTGAAAATCCCGTTTCTGTCAGTGAAGCTGAGCGGACGCGGTTGCCAGAAGGGCTAGAAAACTAGTCTAAAAGTGTACCCGCTAGCACCAGCTGTGGATTGTGTTGCGAGAACCAACAACGGTATATCGTTGTCTTACCCCTCGTTTGGGTGAGTTTTTAAACTGAGTACCCCCCAAAAAATCTAGAACTCATGTAAATTCACTGTAAAAAAAACCATAGAATGTGGTGGTATGTTGAGATTTCCATAAAGTAATTATTTTAACAACTTATAAGAATGAAAACACTCTAAATGCGATGATTTTAGTCATACTTTATTGTAATTTTATTCAATTTAAAAATATTATTGGTTTTTCCTGATTATAAGAATAACACAACTTTCTAGGACTGAGAAAATAAACCTTATTTGACTTTCCTTTTGTCCCCTGAGTAAAAGTCTAGAACATACTTATATCCTAGCACATCCTAATTTTATGGTACCACCCTCTTTATGAATTTTGATATGTTGTCTCGATGATGGTCGTGTGCTGCCTAAACTAAACATGTTCCGATAATGCTGATGAGGATTTTTTTGTAGGAAACGATTAGAGGAACATTTTTCTAGAACATTTAAAAACGATATCTCGTCGTCTTACCCTTCGTTTGGGTGATTTTTCAAATTGGACAGACCCCCCCCCCCCAATCTAAAATCCATATAAATTCACAATACGACCATTATACATACTAGTATTTCTAATTTTGGTGATTTTTCTTATGAAATTCTCACTCAACTGTTTCTCAAGTCATTTCCAACAAAAAAAACTCTTGGACGGCAATGTCGTAACATACTTTAGTTAGGTAGTATACAACCAACATCGGGACAACATACCAAAATTCATAAAGAGGGCGGTACCAAAAAATTAGGACTTGTTAGGGTATAGGTATGTTCAGGACTTTTACGCAGGGGTCCACAAGAAAGTCAAATATGGTCAACTTTCTCAGTCCAAGAAAAAAAAGTTCAGATTTGTTGCACAGTGATATCAGACATAAAGTGGTCATTTTATACGATCGATTAAGAGATGAAAGCATAGAGTTGATAGGTCCATTAGATGTTCGATTCAATTTGACTAATACCAAGTGTAAACACCCCCATTATACCCAGTTTACATACGTGCGGGATCAGCACGAGTTTAAGTTGCTTATGAAGCTACATGCTGATAGATGCTGAAACATGTTTACATTGTGCTGACTCCTTGTTTATGGGATGTTTACTTATACGCTGGATCACTAGCACAACCAGCTCAACCTACTAGCACGAATTTCAGTTACTCCTGAAATCTCATGCAGATAGATGCTCACGCCCTGTTTACATTATACTGACTACTTTTTAGTGCAGTTCTAGTTCACTAGCGCTTGCACACCAGCACAGATGTAAACACCACATTAGCGCAGTTCTAGTACACTAGCACCAGCACACAAGCACCAATGTAAACAGGCCATTAAGGAGCGCGCCCCTTTGGCAGTCAAAATTGGATTCCTTAGCAACAAAATTAAGCAATGACACCGATAATGATCATGCATCAATACCCTAGTCTTAACCACTTCAAACTAGAGAACAACAAATAGATGAAGGCTAACTAACTCATTTTTCCTTGTTTCAAGATCATCCTCGGTGGACAAAGCCGAGTCTTGTCACTATCAACAAGACATAAAAAGTAGTAAGTATGTGTTCCTTTTATTACTGAAAAATTCTGTTCTTCTAGTTTGAAGTAGTCAGAGGACTAGGAATGGGTGATAGATCTAAAATCCCATAACGTACCACTAAAAGGAGATCTATCCACGCTACGGGGCTCCAAATGATCTATTTTGCGGTTTTAGTTGAAATATATAAGAAAAGCGATACTGTCGGTAAGGTGCGCACCCGAGTGCAAGAACATGGTTGAGTCTTATAGGGGAAAAGACAATACGATTTATCCTAGACTACTATTGTACAAAATCGTAGCTGATAGATATTGAGTCGAACGCTTCGGAATTTTTAGAAAAAATAGGGCGCACGCTTGATCCGGTTTGATATTTATTATGGACTGCTTTCAAGAACGTATTTTCATTGGAATAACTTGTTTAACCAGGGCTCAAACAATCGTCACGTCGGTCATAGCTTGTTATGATAGCCGGAACAATGCGTTAAGAGCAAATCGAAACATTGTGCGTCGTGTGAAAGTGGAACTTTAAGAAGGCCTAAGTGCTTTTTCGTAGCTTTTAGTGTTCTGATTTGAAAGATCGTTGGTTGCAGTGGCTTGCTTTCTGAGCAGAAAACGTGGTCCCAGGTCCTTTCATATTAAAGATATTTATGGTCAAATATCAAATATCGGGTTTAAATGGTTCCAACAACTCGAGTAACGTGGTGTGTGATGTGATATGAGGAGCTCCGTGGCCTTAGAGCGACTTGTCTTGCTTACAGAGCACCATCATCACCACCAGGCCATCCACATTCAAGAGTCGTCAATCGTTTTATTTGTTAATATGACTATATGGTAATAACAACAACTCGATTTTTAAAAATACGCTCGTTTGCCTAGTGTCCAACGTTTTTGCTTGCTGAACAGAAGACCGTGAGTTCAATCCCAAACTCCTTCGCGTAATATGATCGTTAGGACATCAGTTCAGCTTATCGTCTACCAAAACGAACCCTGCTGCAAACCCAACCCTCTAACCCAACATCCCAGTTATTCCTCGTGGAAGTGAACAGTGAACAGGACTCCTCGGCTTCTATCAAAACTTCAACACATTCTTACCCATTTATTTCTTGCCGTGCGTTCGGTGTAGACACCGCTGGTATTGCCTAGTTTGAAATTACCACATAGCAAATATTAATTTTGATCTCACATCAAAGTGGATGCACTTAAATCGTTTTAAAAATATGTAATATTACTTTCCAAAAAGGACAAAATTATCATAAATACAGTGCATGAACTGATATTACGCTGCTTTTATTGTATTTGTTTATTTTTGTGGCGAAAAAAATTACATGAGATTTTCGACACGATTGAAGTGCGTCCTCTTTGATGTAATATTAAAATTTATTTTTTGTTGTGCAGTTTTTACACATTGAGGATGGATTCTAGTCCAAAGCATCGTCTATTGGTTCTCCGTGTAATTACAGCTGATCTGCCAATAATAGAGTAGCAACCGTGGGCGGTCAATCATGCCCATACTCATGCTGATCTATTTTGGTGCATCAATTTCTGACACAAACTTGATTGGCTTACACCAATGTTGGTAACCACCACAAGCATTATGAACCACCACAATTGTAAACAACCATGCCCATTCTATGCTTGAGCTGATTCACTAGAGCTGGAGAGCCTGTCGCTCACAATGATGGTTTTCTGGCACAAACTTGGCCGGTTTACACCAATTATGGTTAATCAGCATTATGAACCAGCACTAGTGCAACAACCATTTGCTCTTCCAACTTACCAAATTTCAGCTTACAACTTACCCCGGTTTAGAATATTCAAGACTTTAGCTCAAAGGTCCGCGAGATAGTCAAATATATTTTGTCAATTTTATTTTGTCTTAGAAGCTCTAGTTGCACAGTATATATTTGCCACCAATGGTCAAATTCCTAGTGCTTTTACAAGTTTCGTTGAAAATTTGTATCAGTAATCGTGATCATGATTAATAATAATAAGTAATCATTTGATATTTGATGAAATTCGAAACTGACTCATAGCAGAGCCATGACCTGCCCACTTGGCCACAAACCATTCTCTATCATCCAAAATGGACCATGGGATTCCCCCCTTAATCCATCTCTTCTGAAAGTGATGTTTTATGTTGTCAAAACAAGTTGAAACATAATGAAAAAAATGTGCTTGCAGGTTGACAACATGAACAAAAATCCCACTGTATTCAATCATCGTTGATTGATATGCCCTCCGCGCGCACGGATCTGCTGCTCTGACGTGCCCAACTGCCGCACCCAAAAAGACCACATATGAATTCTGGAAAATTTTCCTTTCCCAATTCTAAACTTTGTTGGTTGATTTCGGATGAGTAGGGAGTAGAATTTTTGACTCGTCATCCTGTTGCTTCTAAATTGAAAATGTCATCGGCAGACATTTCAACAGAAAACTGGAAAATGGGAAAACGGAGCAGCTAGGAGCAACTCTAGCTTCGCTCGGTGTGCGACGAAGATTTTGCGGTTTAATTGAAGGGAA